CTACTTAACCGAATTAATTTTAGAACATGTCATAAAGGTACAATAGTACTGGAGGCTCTATTGAAATTGCAAATGAACGCCAGTAGATGGTTGTGTCTTCTAATATAAATGATTCTAGATAAAAACATGTTTAAACAATGGTAACCAAATGAGAATTATGGTACAGGGATAGTAAAATATATAACTTTTCTTTCTTGATTTAAAATGTACAATATGATTTGAATGAAGTATATGTAAGGACTGGAAGAAACGCACAGAATGTATTTGTAACCAATCGATACGCCTTCAACAAGATGTAACGAAACATGTTTTTTTTTTCTGTTTAATTAAAACAAAAAATTTTCTCAAAAAAAAAATCCATTCAGGAGAAAAAACATATCAATGTAAAGAGTCTGGAAAGAGCTTTGATTGGAGAGGAAACCTTGATACACATCAAAGAATCCACCCTGGAGAGGAAATCTATAATCACTCTAAAATTGTGTTTCCACCAAAATAAGGCCTAGTGGTTATTTGGGCCCCCAAATGATAATAAAGCCAGGTGTTATTTTGGGGAAATATGGATCTTGAGTCTGTAATTTAGCGTGTTGGCTTAGTATTATCTGCAAATTTGATGTGTCCCCCATCTAGTTCCTCATTTAAGTCATTTATGAAGATATTGAAAAGTCCTCAGCCCAAGACGGAACCTTGTGGTACCCCACTGCTTCCTTCCCTCCCTGTACATATAGTACCATTAAGGACCACCCGTTAAGTAGTTTGTCAGCCGGTTAAAAATCAATCCATCCAACTCAGTCATGAGTTTCATCCCACCATGTTTCAGTAATAGCAACTATATCATACGTTACCTTCATGTATTAGTAATTCAGCTTCTCCCTGTCTATTGAGCATTCATATATAGGGATTAGAGACCTCCTTGGATCTTGGGTATATTTCTTGTATCTCCTACTCTGTGTCTGGGTTTTCCATCCTTTCTATCACTCTACTTCTCTGTGTTTCCCCTTGATTTCTTCTTCTTTCTCTTTACACCCCACCGCCTTGTATGATTGGTTATTTAGTGCCTTTTCTTTGGAATCGGGCTTTAGAGGTCTTGAGGATTGGACCTTCTCCCCGCTCAACTGTCTAATTTCACAATGAAGACTGTTTTCAAGTGTACATGCTAGGCATTTTAACTGGCTCAAATTGTAGCTTTTTGCAATAGGTTTCCGTGACTCCTTTCCCCAGCCAGATGTTTTCCTTTTACGCCTTTTCAAAGTTTGTGCTTAATATTACGGGATGTTTGACTGATTGTCCATGTCTCTGATGTAACTGAGCAAGATTACTTTCAGCAAATCACCTGTTTTGTACTTTTTCTGCTGTATAAAAGTGTAAAATGAATCCTGAGTCTGTCATCCATTTTTTCATGAAGGGAAGCCTCTTTGCTAGATTACTCCAATGATGCCCTTAAATGATCTTCCAACTCTGTGCCTAATTTGACCAAGTGTGTCGTGGCAGAATTCAAGTGTCAGGCCTGCCCCAACCCGGTCCCTTAGGAAAGGAAGACCCTCGACCCTCTATGTGAGTTTCCAAAGGTGGGTATCATGTAAGACCATCCCCAGATATTCGGAACTCTTGTCAGTTGGATTCTCTGAATGGTCCCCGTGTCTTCCAGCAGGAACTGCTACAAGGGACTCTCTGCTAGGTCCCATAGATCCCTATCGCACACTGCCATTCTGGTTTAGGGGGAGGCCTGGGTACATTCCTCACTTTATAACCCTTTTCCTGCCTATCACGTACTTTGAATTTCCTTCTTGGAAATAAACGGGGGGAGGCAATGAATTGAGGGCCATCTGTTATATCTCAGCATTAGACATAAGCAAGAGACGCCTGAAAACAAGTTATTGCTTTCTCAGGCGGCACTTCAAAGGCCAACAAAGCTTTCTGAGATACTAGCCATATTCTCAACATATAGGAGAAGTACATTGGGGATTGTACGGATTGAGGCAGGTGTATGTAGGAGATGGTCCTGTGCAGGTGCTCCCTAA